CTTAATCTTTGTGATCTACATGTAGTTCAGCGAATTATTTCAAAAACATATTATGATATCATATGTATTAGATTAAATTTAGAGACGACAAAAAATGATATAAAATGGATGTACATACTCGGAACACATGGAATTTAAGTGTAACAAAAATGCAAAGGATAGCATCTACAGCATTTAACATGCAAGTTATTGGGATAATGAGCAAGTTATTTAAATTTATTTAAACGAATTTATTAAATTATATTAAACGCTAATTTTCATGCAGTGGTAGAGCAAGCTCTTGCGTATCAGATCAACTCAGATATATGTACTCCGTATGCAGGTTTATTGCTGCATTTATTAAGTAAGGGAAGTTGACGATAGAAAAGTTAAACTCATCACGTTTATCATATAGTTTTGTTGTTAGGCTACCATTAAGGTCTTTTTCAAGTAAAATATCCAAGTATGAAACAGATATGTCAGACTCTGTGATGTCTTTTATCTCAAGCTCACCAGGACATATCGTATCGAGTAGATATGGAAATTACCTTTATTAATTGACAATACGTCATCGATATATCTCAATGTCGAGATGAAGGCCACAACAAGTGTTTTCTTCTTTACAGGCATAAGATTTTGCACAATTCTTTTTCATATGAATATAAAAATAGGTCCACTAATAAGAGAGCGCAATTTGTACCCATGGGAATTCCAATAGATTGTTTGAATACCTGGTCTCCGAAAACCACATAGATATTGTCAATCAGAAACTCAAGCATTTTCTTGATGTTAACTTCAGAGTACTTGTGTGTGCAATCAGAATCTTTTTTAACAAAATAATTTTGCAAATGACCAATGACCAGATAAGTAAATTTACGAGATCCATTTTTATTGAAAAAGCAGCTGTCTTTGATATCAAAAAGCCTGAATTTTAAATAATAGAGGGGAATGGTTGTGTATAATGTTGAAAAGTAATAAGTTTTTAAGCTGTTGATTTTGGTAAAATCTTGTTATTTCAAAGTGTCCAAAAGAACATATATATTTTCAAAATTAAAAGTAACTACATGTACGTCACTTAAGTTAATTAATAAGGCAAATTCTACGAAGTTGATGACATCGTGAACTATAAATAGAAATGTTTTTGATAGGGAAGAAATACATTTTTCTCGTCACTTACTGTATGAGGTATAATTTTGGTCATGTTTTTTGCCTTTTAACACTATCAAAAATTTTCTTCTGTATTAATTTTGCATATTCACAGTTCTGGTTCAGAAATTATACCATGTTCTATGAATTTTCTTCGTTATAAATTCATCCATTTAAAAGTACATATACGTGAAAAGGGTAAACATAAAACAGTGGCCAAATCTCCCCGTTAATACAATCATTGAACGTTCAACAAGCTTTGAGTGGTGGAATGATACCGTTTTAAATCAATTAATTTTTATTGACTGTCTAAAGTGTTTGTCTAGTTACACAACTAACACTCTGTTTATGAAAAAAATAACAGTTGGTATAATTATGGACTTTGACACTGTACATATTATCCTTTTCCTTATAGGCAAAATGTTTGTGAGTTTTCATTAAAAATACTGCACGTGTTACAGTAGCAAAAATACTACAGTAAACGATAGGTAACTATAGTTTACTATAATTGATCAAAGTTCAAAACTTTTCAATAAAGAAAATTAAAATTCGAAAGTTTTCATCATAGTTAATCAGGGATCCAAAGTTTTTACAGTAGTATATTAAATTTCCAAGTTTTCACTATAGTAAATCACAGTTCCAAAGTTTTATCGTTGGAACAGTTACTATAGATAACCATAGTGTACTTTAATTGATTATAGTATTTTTGTTAGGGTACACACAGCACCTTACATGTAGGGAAATGTTTGAAAACAACCATAGTACATTTGAGATTCTATCACTCATATCACACAAAGGAACAATTACTTCCTGTCTTTGTCTTTGGATATTAGAATTGGCGCTCCATAGCCAAAAGAACCGATCTCGGACCTGCCAAATATGAAGCAAACACTTTACATTTGTAGCAAACATATAACAATCTTGTCTTTTGCATATTTTTTATGACTAAATAGTTGTCAAGGTTTGAAAGTTGCTGTATTAGCCGGGGGATCAATAGTTAAATAAATAGCTAATGAATACGATTTGTTTTGGAAAAGATCTATCATAAATTTACGAAAAACCCTTATCCCAATTTACAGTGTATTTCTTTTTGATACACTCTGTGTATAACATATATAACTTTGAAATTAACCATCACGATTTTCGAGGAAGGAAAAAAAAATCTCCAACTTCAACAAATAATTCTATATAATAAACAATATAATACTATTTCGTTTGCATTTAACAGTCACCAGTGTACATTACAATCAAATAAAACATGCATCACATGTACAGTACTCGAGAAAAAAACACAAACATGAGTTCAGATGATAAGTTCAACACATTCTCCAAACAACTGGCTTTTGTTTGTATTTTGATAATTTTAATGTAGATTTGAAATGCATTCTTCTTTCATTTTTATATGAAACTATTATTTATAAGCATACCTTAATTTTTACACTTTAAAATTGGAAAACACAAAAAATTATTCAACCAAATCAACTATAAATATATCGTGTTCAATTGAAATTATTTCCATGTAAATATATAAAGTAAATGAAATGTCTTTCAGTGGCGGATCCAGAGGGGGGGGTTACGGGGTGTGCACCCCCCAACCGCTAAACCACCCCCCACCCCCACCCCCAGCCTCCTTTGGATTTGCAAAAAAAAAGAAAAAAAGAAAAGAAAAGGAAAAGGAAGATAGAAGAAAGTCTCAAATTCTGTTGTATTTTAACTAAAGAAAATGTTCAGTGAAACGCTAATATGTTGTAATATATAAAGAAATTCGGTTGTGAATACAAATGAAAACCCATCCCCTTTGTAAGTACAAAATAGAATTTTCGGGTTTGGAGACTTTCTTTTTCAAAAACTTTAAGGTACTATAGTAATTCAGTCATACAAGTACTTTTTCCCAAATTGATCAACCTCCCACTTTTAAAGTCCATAATCCAACCGGTATCCTATCGAGTTATGTAACTAGATATGTATAAGTTGAACTTTCGGGGTCGGAGATATATTTTCCTTTTTTTCAAAAACTTTCAGGTACTATAGTACATGTAATTCATACAAATACTTTTTCCCAGGTTGTTCAACCTCCCGCTTTTAAAATCCATACTCTACCGGTGTCCCATTGAGTTATTAAACTACTTGTTTGTGTAAAACGTACGTTATAATAACTCTTTTACCCTTCACCCCCCCCCCCCCCTTTTTGAAAAATCCTTCAACCCCCCTTTGAAAAATTTCTAGATCCACGCCTGTCTTTCATCAGGAAAAAAACCCTTGAATGACATAATGACCCTATCTTAATTCCAAAAGCCGTTACTCAATTGACATGAATTTAAAACCTCGGTAAAACACTTTAGTTCATCATAACAATGAACTTTCGAGTTAATGTCACAATGAACGTGATTCGTTTTGATGCATTTTCACTAAATGATATACACGGCAAATTAAAAACTTCTTTAAACAGGAGCCTTAAATTAAAAGTGCAAAGTGTCCTTAGTATAATAGAATAGAATGTAAGATTATATTACTTTTGATGGTTTTATCCCATTCGTAGGGGGTAGACACTACGATATTTCCATTAAACTGCATATATACTGTGTGTGATGCAAATTTCGAACTTGGTAAAGTTTGGCTAAGTGTTTTCAGACAATAATGCTTAGATGTGAAAGCACGAACGGATAATGAGTGTTGATCGGCGACGGACAGATCAGATACGACAAAGAGTAATTTATTTTTCGTTGGTGACCTAAGAATATGCATTGTGATTAAACGTTACGGGGATTTGGATTGAAATACAATCTGGTAACTTTTTATCCTTTCAAATGTGGATTGGAAAAATCAATTCTCATACCAACAACTTTATACAAATTTAGATCTTTATATATACATCAAGGCTGAGTAAATCGTCATCAGTCACAATAAGAAAGAAATAAAAAAAAAATTCATAGATATCATTGTTTTTTTTAACCCTTGTTATTTTTAGTCTTTTACACTTCCAAACAGGTTCATCCTTTTTTTCAAGTTCACGCATTCACAGTTCTTCTTAAGAAATTATATTGTATTATTTGATTTACTCTAAGTCGTTTTAAATTTCATAACAAAGAGAACTCATCCAACCTGTGTCAATTAAATGTTTTACTTTATATGATAATTAAATCTTTTAAAGCATCAAGATACGTATTATCAATTCCATAAGTTAGGACCTGTGTAGTTGTAGAACATTCAATGATGATATCATCATAGGAAGACGACGATTTACTAGTATTTTCATTGCATTCATCAATTATCATGTCATCATCCCCTATTACTTTGTTAAAGTCTAAAGTAAGGGTTAGAATGTTACTTAGGGTTTTCTACGGGATATAGGAGTCTAGCGATAGCGAGACTTCTATGTCCCGTAGAAAACCCTAATTAACATTCTAACGCACTTAAAGGACAAGGTTTACTCGAGACAAAACCATTAAATCAGTGTCAAATTAATCAGCATCTCTGATGCCATTTTCTGATTCATACAGAATTGGGGTTTACCAGTCATTTCTATCACAATGTCTGAACAGGATAGCAGTTATTCAGATCTCATAGACCTTGCAAAACTTTTCTTTATTTGATGGAGATGACTTTAATGCTGATATAATTCCTACTCAGGAGTTATTTTTAAAAAGAGAACAGAATGACAGATATGCTGCACCAATATCTGGAGAAGATTTGCAGAAGAAATTCATACAAAGTGTTCCTAAAAAAACAGAGAAAATAATAGATGGGCTGTTAAACTTTGGAAGGACTGGTCGCTGCACAGAAATACATTACCTGAAACCTACACGGAGAATCCATCTTTTTTTCCAATACCTGTTGAAATTTCAACTGCAACTATTGAAGAACTTCAGTTCTAGATGCCGCGTTTCATAAATGAAATCAGAGGAAAGGATGGTACTAACTACCCACCAAATACCCTTACGAATATTGCAGCAGGAATTCAGCGTTATTTAAGAGAGGAATGCAACCGTCCTACTGTTAATTTTCTAAAGAAAGATGACCTCACCTTTGATTTCTTTAGGAAAAGTTTAGATTCAAGGATGAAAGAATTAACGAATATGGGCGTGGGCACAAAAGTGAACCGAGCAGATCCTGTCTTGCTCCAAGATGAAGAACAGCTATGGAAATCCGGGGTTCTGAACCAAAACACCGCTCAAGGGCTTTCAAATTGTGTATTTTTCTACAATTGCAAACTGTTTGCTTTTAGAGCAAATGACGAACACCGAAATTTAGATGTCTCTCAATTTTCCATCAATTATGACCATGAATCTGGTTTAAAATACTTGGAATTTAAGGGAAGATCTTGTAAAAATGTCCAAGGAGGACTAAAGCACAAAAAGGTTGAAACCAAAAATATTAATCATTTTGAGCAGCCTGAAAACAAGCGTTGTGTGGTATAAAATTTATGAAAAATATCTCAGGTTGATTCCTTATTCTGGTGCATTCTACAGGAGACCTGTAAGGTTCCTGGAAGGAAATGTTCTTAAATTCAGTTCACAAGTAATCGGTGAAAAGAAATTGGGTGGAATGTTGAAAAATCTGTTTTCTGAAGCTGGAATTGACACAACTGGAAGGAAAATTACAAATCATTCGGGTAAAGTAGGCTGTTGCACATCTCTATTTAATAGCGGTTTTGATGACCAAACTGTTCGATCTAGAAGCGGTCACAGGAGTTCAGCAGTTGAACTATACAAACGCCCGCTAAAAGATCTCCAGCTTAAAGTGTCTAATGCCTTGAATGCACCGATGGTGAAAGATGACAGTGATAAGGAAAACTCTGATTAGATAATTAAAAGTAAGGAAACAATTAGTGACAGTAATTGCAGTAAAGTCTTAACATTAATTGTTCCCAATAAAATTGAAACACTTGTAATTGAAAAAAATGGAAAGAAAATCAAGCTGCCATTGGAACAATTCTAATTACTGTGCATATCTTTAATTTCTCGTTTTGTGTTTATTGAATATAATTTGTCTATATTTCAAGAAATATTGTCATTATTTTTTGTGTTTCCTCTCGACAATCATAGCCTTAAATTCACTGAGTCTACATTCCATTGAAATGGTAAACCACGCCTCTGCTCCAAATAGGTCACCCTTTCTGTGGAACTTAGAGTCAGTGAATTCAGGGCTATGATTGGTCGAGAAGTAAAGCTTGTCCTCTAAATTTCTATATATTATACGAATGCCATTGTTTATCTCTGATGTTCCCCATATTTTCTGGTGAAATAACAGGGTCTGTGTAAGTTTCCAAACAATTTTCACCTGAAATCTCCAGCTCTAATTTAGAACTTCTTTCTGGTTTACACGAAATATCTACCACTTCTAAACATGCATCAATTTCCTGATACTCCGACACAACATGCTTATACACGTGACCTTTCTGACCTTTGTCTTTATCATTCTCTAATCTGTTATATTGCTTTTTATCGTTGTCGCCTGATTTACTTGCAGCATCATTAGATACATTGATTTCGAAGTTATCCCCCTCTTTTCTTCTTGATATCTTTCGTCGTGCAGATTTTGATCTCAAACGAAGTTGTAAAATGATAACTATCAGTAGAATAGCTATCAGCAATCCCACTGCAGACAGTAAATAATTACTGTTGAACTTTTCTGTCGTGAATATATCAGAAATAGATGAAGTTGATTGTATCTCTGATAAATGCAAAATTGTGCTGATTTTTATTGATGGATAAGGTTTATTAGTTGTAGAAATTGAATTGTTTTCACTCTCTTCAGTAGAGATAGGTATCAGGGATTTTATTGTTTCTGGTGACTTTGTTGGTAATGAAACATGTGAAACCTGTATTGTTGACCCATTTAACTCTTTATGACCTGTTTTTATAAAGGAATGATATTGAATGAAAATAATTTATCATTCATAAGTACAAAGGATGAAAATGAGGAATCGTAATAAATGTCATATTAAGTTAACTCAAATATATGAGCTGGACATAAACACCTGGAAATTCCAAAGGTAGGATCAGGTGCCAGAAAGGATTCAGCATGCCTAGTGTCCGGTCACATGAAAAGTCTAAATTCACTTATACAAGTAAGACACTGTGTTATGGGTCAGAATAACCCTAAATGCCAGCAAAGATCAATAACACAATTTAAACTTAACAATAATTTATTTACAGTAATATATTATAAGTATATGAAACATAAAGTACAAATTTAGCAAGAATCTAAAAATACATACATCAGAGTGTCCGTTGCTGCACACAATGTCCCAGTGAAAATATGTCCCAGTTGTAACTCAATGGTGCTCATACGACAAAAGGTACCTATGCATCGAATTGACAGGGTATTTATACAGTATCATAAATCTAGAATATTCTAGAAGTTGTTAAAACATGATTTTACTGGAACAATCTGGACATACACAAAATTCAGGAATGTTCTAGAAAAAAAATGACCGAACATGTTGACCACTCTGGAATGTTCAAGAAACTTAATGTTACTAATAATATACATGATGAAACAATACACTCCTCACAACACCTCCCCCCTTAAAAAGTTTCAATGTCAATGAAAACTTATATTGTCAAAATGAAATATATCGACATTAATACAAAATCATATATGTTCACGATACTCTGGACAAGGCATCTGCAATAACATTGTCTTTGCCTTTGATATGCTTAATTGTTATGTTGTATTCTTGTAACAACAAACTCCATCTAGTCAGTCTTTGATTCTTGTTTGACAATTTATGCAAAAATGACAGGGGGTTGTGATCTGTATATACAAGAATTGGATGCAAAGTAACATTCAGATAAACATCAAAATGCTGTAAGGCTAACAACAAGGCAAGGCATTCCTTTTCAATGGTGGAATACTTTTGTTGACATTTTGTAAGTTTCTTTGAAAAATAAGAAACAACTCTATCTACCTTATCACTATGTTCTTGAAACAAAGCTGCCCCGATTCCAACATCACTAGCATCAACAGTAAGCTTAAATTGCTTAGAAAAATCTGGAGTTGACAGAACTGGGTTGTTCATAAGGACAGATTAGATTTTATGAAAGGATTTTTCACAGTCCTTTGTCCATTCAAAGTTAACCCTCTTTTGTAAAAGATTTGTAAGTGGACTAACTACTGAGGAAAAATTTGGACAAAATTTTCTATAAAACCCAGCCATGCCCAAAAACCTCATTAATTCTTTCTTGTTTGTAGGAATCGGGAACTTTGCAATAGCTTCCACTTTAGCCATAATGGGTGTAACATAACCTTGACCTACTTTATGACCTAAATACTCTACATAAGCATGACAAAATTCACTTTTTTCAAGGTTCACAGTTAAGTTTGCTTTAGCTAAAATGTCAAATAAAGCACGCATGATTCGGAGATGTTCATCCCATGTGTCACTGTATATGATGACATCATCAATGTAGGCCTCGCATCCCTCAAGGTCTTGAAGAAGGGAGTGAATCATCCTTTGGAATGTAGCCGGTGCGTTTTTCATGCCAAAGGGCATTACTTTATACTGGTAAAGTCCATCTGGTGTAGCAAAAGCAGATATTTCTTTTGCTCTTTCTGTTAAAGGTACTTGCCAGTAGCCTTTCAAAAGGTCAAATTTACTGACAAATTTCGCATTTCCAATGTTGTCAATACAGTCATCGATTCTAGGTATTGGATATGAATCAGTTTTGGTAACAGAATTCACCTTTCTAAAGTCTGTACATAATCGGTACGAACCGTCCTGTTTTGGTACAAGAATACACGGTGAGCTCCAATCACTTTCACTAGGTTCAACAATGTCATTGTCCAACATGTACTGCACTTCCCTTCTTAGGTACTGCAATTTTATTGGATTGAGACGGTACGGATGTTGTTTGATAGGCAGAGCGTCGCCAACTATAACATCATGACAAGCTGTATTAGTTTTCTTTGGAACATCCGAGAAGATTTGATGATACTCATTCATCAAGTTTTTAACTTGTTCTTTTTGGTGAATGTTCAAATGTCCAAGTTTGACATCCAAATCAGCCAGAATTTCTGAGTTTTTCAAGCGAACACTCTGATTACAATCTTTCTCATTCATTTCTACACTTATATCACTTTCAATACAATTTTGAACAGTCTTAGCATTGGCTAAAGTGGAAACTGGTTTTACAGAATTTCGGTCACACCTTTCAAAATACTCTTTTAACATGTTAATGTGACAAACCCGTTTCTCTTTACGTCGACCTGGTGTCTTAACTATATAGTTTACATCACTGATCTTGCTTTCAATTTCATAAGAGCCATAAAATCTGGCCTGTAAAGGATGACCAGGAATAGGTAAAAATACAAGAACCTTATCACCTGGCTTAAACACCCTATTTCTGGCATCTTTGTCATACCACATTTTCATTTTCATCTGAGAACTCTTCAAATTTTCTTGTGCTAATTTACAAGCATTGTAAAGTTTTTCTTTGAAATCAGACACATAATCTAAAAGATTAAGATCACTAGTCTCAGTCAGCCACTTTTCCTTCAACAATTTCAAAGGACCTCTAACTGTATGACCGAACACCAATTCAAATGGACTGAACCCAAGAGACTCCTGGACTGCTTCTCGTGCAGCAAATAGCACAAGATGAACCCCTTCGTCCCATTCTTTTTCATATTGGTAACAATAGGTCTTCAGCATTGTTTTTAGGGTTTGATGAAAACGTTCTAGCGCTCCCTGGGACTCAGGATGATAAGCAGTTGATCTATATTGCCTTATACCCAACTCATGCATGACTTGCTGGAACAACCCCGACATAAAATTTGAGCCTTGATCCGACTGAATTGCCTTGGGTGCTCCTACAAAACTGAAGAACTTGGTTAGGGCCTTCACTATGCTCTTTGCCTTTATTTTCCTAAGAGGTATGGCTTCAGGAAATCGAGTGGATGTACACATAATGGTAAGTAAATACTGGTTTCCAGATCTAGTCCTAAGCAAAGGTCCTACACAATCCACCAACACTCGACTAAACGGTTCTTCAAAAGCTGGAATGGGTTGGAGAGGAGCAGATGGTATCTTCTGATTTGGTTTACCTACCATCTGACAGACATGGCATGACTTGCAAAACTTCGAAACATCCTTTCTTAGCTTAGGCCAATAAAAATGACTCAAAATCCTATTGTAAGTCTTATTGATGCCTAAATGACCAGCCATAGGGGTATCGTGAGCTAAACTCATGACATCTCGACGATAGGCAGCTGGGACCACTATCTGGTGAACAACACGCCACACTTCATCTGGAGAAGCGTCAGGTGGTCGCCATTTTCGCATAAGGATGCCATCTTTCATATAGAAGCATTCTCCAACTTTATTAGCCTCTTCTGGTGGAAGTGCCCTCTTACTAAGTTGAATGATATCTGGGTCTTTATGTTGTTCAGAGAGTAAACGTTCTCGGCTGAGGATGTCCTTGCCTTGGCTAACTAGTGGATGCAACTCATCATCCTCACCACCAAATTTTGGTAAAAGTTCTTTCTTCTCTTGCTTCTTGATATCGTGTGGTTCCATGCTTGTTTGAGTGCCATCAAGGTCAGATAAGAAAGTGTCATTCAAATCAATATCAACAGAGGAATTCGTCTCGTCAAAGGCTTGAGTATGGTCTGCCTCCATTTCTCGTCTTCTGGCCATCGCTCTAGTAACAGCACAGTACGGGACAAGAATGAAATCTTTGAAACAGTTTTAAGAGTACATACTAATGATGCATTGACCTTAAGTATATGTTGAAAGACAAAAGAGATACAAAAAAAGCTAATTTTCTCATTTTTGGAATGACCTTGACCTTTGACCTTAA